CACACACACACACACACACACACACACACACACATACAAAGTAAAACAAGTAGATAGAATAGAAAAAATTGAAAGCTAGCGTTTGTTTGTTTTTTGTTTGTTTTAAAAAAAAAAAAATAATAAATAAAAAAGATAGATAAAGTAGAATTAAAATAGAATAGAAAGTGTTAGAGTTAGAGGGTCAAATAAAGGTGGAACAGATGTGTTTTTAGTCGTTTCTTGAAGATGGTTAAGGACTCAGCTGCTGGGATTGAGTTGGGCAGGTCATTCCACCAGGAGGGAACAGTTAATGAAAAAGTCTGTGAAAGTGATTTTGTGCCTCTTTGAGATGGCACAATAATACACCGTTCACTTGCAGAACGCAAGCTTCTAGAGGGCACATAATGCTGAAGTAATGAGTTTATGTAAATGGCTGCAGACGAATCGCAGAGTCACACGCAGACCAAGTAAATGGAGCATAATAAATATAGCATCATTAATGTATTTCAGCCAAATGCTGTTTATGTACAGTATACTGTATGCCAAATTACAATAGATCCAGCATTTTTATGATGTGATTAACAAGACATTTTTAAGTGTTAATTATGCATTAAGGTAATGCCATATTATTGTACTTACAACACCATAGTCTAACAAACATAACAAATATTGCTGCATAAAAGCATTTCTTTCTGAAATGCTTTTAAAAACTGACCTCAAACTTTAATTTATTTTATATTTCATACATATTTACATCTGTGAAGAAATATCCAGCCCATATTTCATCCCAAAAATTCAAAAGCAAAAATAAAATAAATTAATAATAATAATTATAGAAAATTCACATTACTTAAAGAAAATGATATATAAATATTTTGTAAAATTATAATGCTGAATAAAAGTATTAATAAAAAAAAAACAGTATTATAAAAACAGTTTCATATGATTAATCCAATATTGTTGAATCAAAAAAAAAACTTACCCAAATATTTAAATTGTAAAAGCAAAAAATGAGATCATATAGAACTTATTTTATATTTCATACACATTTAAATAATATTTCTGTGAAGAAATGTCTGTCTCATATTTCATTCCAATAATCAAAAGCAAAGTATATTTTACATTTGAAAAAAATATTTATTTTTGTAAGATTAAGATTTATTTGCATTATGACATTAATTTTATGTAAATTGGCACACCTCTAAATAGTCATTATCATAAAAAAAAACTCATTATTTATACTGTAATAAAAATAGTCTTTAAATGCAGTGCTAATGTACTTTCTAATTTGAATAAAATATCATTAAATATAATAAATATATAATGAAAATAATGTCACAATGCAAAAAAAGAAAAAAAGTAAGGATTTAAAATATTTTAAGAAAATTTGCAACAGTGGAAAAGACTGTCAGTAGAATACAAGCCTAAAATTTTTTATAATTTTGAACTTGTCGCAATGCATTCTGGCATTGCCTTCACCATTACAGATAGATGCTGTATGCTTCTTAATTTGGCCATGATATATAATTATGCTGCCTTTTAGAGCAGTTTTTTGCATTGGGATCAGCCTTAAAAGGCTGCAGCAAACGGACCTGTGGTGTGTATTTTAGCACTAGTTGTCCTTCACCTCATATTTCCATATTTTCCGTATTCTCAGATCTGCTCAGGCTTGGGCTGTGTATGATCTGCAAGTGCTGATGGACTGATTCGGCACCTGTTCCTGCTCCGTCTCTCATGCCCTTGATGCTCTTCATGGGTATCGATTCCACCGACTGCGTTTGCTCCGGCTGTGAGGCCATTAGGTCTATGTTTAGTAGAGCAGCCTTGTTTGAACTTCATCGCAGCCTGTTCTTTTGGCAGTAAATGCGCTTATTATGCTGTTTTAGTTTCTTCACGTACAGTTTTATTTACAACTGTGAAAAATCATTGGAGATTATTGGAGTTTGTTTTACAAGAAAAAAC